CTACAGAGAATAAGGTCAATAGAAGTTGTTTAAGCTACCTCACAGAAGTCCTCTTCTTGTTAACAAAGTTGTTGAATGTTAAAATAAGGTGAATCAAATAAACAATAAAGAAGATCCTGGATCTGTTTCTTCGCTCTTCTTTATTAGTTTTTGATGTATTATAGAAGTATTGAATTTGGGGTTCAGTATCGGTAGATACTTAAAATCTAATTATTCAGACTCAAGGGCAGAAAAACCTGATCGGGATATCCCTAATAATTACATTAACTAACATTACCTATTGAAACCTTATTATAAAGTGTGACCAAATAAATAAAAGAATTTAATAAATGAATATATCAGAACAAAACCAGAATAAAGAGAGGTGAATGATTGAAAGAAAGAAAGAAAGAAAGAAAGAAAGAAAGAAAGAAAGAAAGAAAGAAAGAAAGAAAGAAAGAATCAGAATAAAAGTGATTCATTCACACTAAATAACCACAGGATTGTCACTTAAGTCCACTTTGTCATTTTTCACAGTCTTTCCTTTTCTCGAAATAACATTGAACAGCACAGGATCATTCTGTGGCATAACAGCCAGTCTGCTTCTAAAGCACAAGACAACAGTGTCCCTTTTTCAATCCTAAAGACTATTTTCTCCTGGTCTTTATCTCTTTTATCTGTGTCTTTATTCCTTTCGCCGCTACTGTTCTCTCATTTCTCTCTCTGTGTGTGGTGATCAGCGCTCATCACCGACGGGCAGCAGAAGAAAGTTGATTCATCCATCAGCGAGACGGTAATCGTTCCCGCTAATTTGCCTCACACCCGGGCTTTTAGAGATCCATTTACCTGCTGAGCGCTCGGCGGAGGTGCCACTTCACTTTTCAGACCCGAATGAGTCTGAACGCTGGTTCCGAAACCCAACTAAACAATGTGCTGAGCCGGGACTGATGGCAAATTGAATACTTCTGTAATGAGCGGGTCCAGCCAAAGATGGAGGTTGCACGGGAGGGAGATAGGCTTAAGATTGACTCCAGCATGAACTGAATGGAGTGGCTGCCCATGTGGAGCACAATTGTGGGTACTTTGCTCAGGATGGAGGGGAAAATAAATGGAGGGTTGGTTGGAATGGAGGCATGATGGATCTCAGGCTATTTATCATGAAAGCATGAGAGAAAACATATGTGTATGGTTTTGAATTATTGTTTCTGTGAAGGGTAGAGGAATGAAACAGGATATAAGATGGATATTAGAAAAGAACACACAGTAACAGGACCAAATGAAATATAAGATAAACACAATAGAAATTAAGAAAGACTGGTGGAATGAAATGAAATGCATTCAAATGATTTAGAACAGAATAGAGGAAATGAAAACAAGGTGGTAAGATTCAAAGAGAAGAGAACAAAGTTAAATTCAGAGTTAAATAGAATCATAGTTAATTATTCGTAGCTCTAGAATCCAACATGTTATAATGGGAGGTTTTATTTCAGATAAAATGTTTACTTCAGTTAGATCTCCCCAGGGTTGTGATTTATCGCCATTATTAATTACTTTATATACACATTTTTGTAAAAGTTCATTTAAAAATTGATATAGTGTAAAGTATGCAGATGATACTGCTTTGGTGAGCCTTTTAAATAAAGAGGTGAAAGAACACGAGCCTGTTCTTGACTTTGTTTTGACTAGTGTGAAATTTCAAACCTTCTAAATATTCCTAAAACTAATGAGATGGTTATTGATTTTAAAAAGAGAGCACAAAGCAAAACTGATCCCACATTAATTAATGGGGAGCAAATTCAGTTAGTAACAAATTAATTATAAGTATTTGGGTGTAATGTTGGACAATAAACTCGCTGGGATGTATGGACTGACTGACAAAGGAAAAAGCTTCAACAGAAGCAACGGGGTTTATCGTCAGAATGTACTTTTTCAAGAAACTATTGTCTTTTAATGTTGACAACATCATGCTTTATAGTGCTTCTATTGAAAGCATTGCAACATTTTGTGTGATCTGTTGGTATGGAAGCCATATATGTTACCATCAGGTCGTCGATATTGTGTTCCCAGATGTGTAAAAAAATAGGAAAAATATTATAATTTTACATCAAGCAATTAAGTTTTTAAACTAAATTCCTCCTCCCTTAGTAGCAGTTGATAGCCAGTAGACCGGATACTTATTTAGAGAAAGGGTACCATTTTTTATATATATATATATATATATATATATATATATATATATATATATATATATATATATATATATATATATATATATATATATATATATATATATATATATATACGCCAACTGTGAAATGTCAGAAGTCTCCGTGAGTGTATGCTGCAAAATGAAATTTCCCTATGGGGACAAATAAAGTTAACTAACTAACTAACCAAAATTAAAGGAACAAAAACAAAAATGATTGAAACCGACATGAAAAAAATTTAAGAATTAGAACATGACAAAAACAAAACGTGATCAAATTACTCACCCAGAACAAATGAAACTGAATAGTGTCAGAATAAACAGAGTTATATGAATAGAATCACATGATACAAACACAAGAGAATTGAATGAATATGAAAAGAGCAAGTAAAAGAATCAACAGAATCAACTAATAGTACAGAACAGGAGAGCAGAACAACCAAAGAAATGCAAACAAAACATATCAGCACAAAAACAAATGAATCAGACCAGAATAAAGGAGTTGAATCAAATAGATTGAAATAGAATCAAAAGAAACAAAATCAAACAATAAAGAACAGAATTAAATGAACATAACTTTAAATGAATCAGTGCACACAGAGATAAATCAAATAAAAAGGAACAGAATTTAACAAAACACAAGTGGCCAACAACCAATTTAAATGTACCAGAACACCAATTAATCGGAACAGAATTAAATCACAACAGAAACTAAAAGAAACAACTGGAATATATTAGAACAGAATAAAATACAATAAATATTAACCCTATTCAATGAGGAATCATAAATAGCATTGCAATATAATAATTATTTTAAAGTCAAAAAAGTTCAGAACTCTTTTAAAAAACACCAGTAATACTCCAGAGGTTTTCAGTTAACAGAAAAAGATTCAAATAGAGCAGAACAATCAAATAAGAACCAAATCAAATGCAACATACAGTAAAGACAACTAAAACAAGTGAACTGAACAAAACTAAATAAAATGATTCAGCACAGAACCGAGAGTTCAATGAAACAGAAAGAAATATGAAACTGCCAATGCATTGATGAAATTACCAGATGTGCCAAAACATTCCTCAGTTAAACAAAGAGAAAACTAAAGTCATTGCATTTGAGAACAGACATGAGGTCCTCAAGGTGAATGCGTACAGTGCCTTGACTTTAGGGGTCAAACAACAAAAAATAAGGTCAAGAATCTTATGCTGCATTCCAATCCGCATACTATCCATCCTTAATAGTATTCAAAAATAGAATTTGTATGCCCCAAACCATAGTATGTTAAAAGAATATGGCAAAGGTTTCTGGATGGTTTACTATTTACAGTAAAAATTTAAAGTGTAGCGTTTATACTCTAACCGCTAATATTGCCCACAATACATTGCATGTTGGATGTGAAATTGATTAGATCTACAAACAAGGATGAAAAGTGTAAACTAATTACAAAACACGGTGGACACGCAAGACCAACCGTCAAGTAGAGAGGCTTCGGTTAAAGTTGTTTGAATTATTGTTAACCAATATCTAGCCAACTGGATTTTCAACAACAATGTGAACTTGTATCAAAATATGTTTGGACATAAGGAGATTTCTTCGCTTGAAAGACTCCCGAATGGCAGATTATTCTGCTGCTGCTTCTCCAATAAGGTAAGTAATTAAATATGAAAGAAATGTGGATGATGTGTCAAGATGATTGACAGGGGACCTAACTAAGCAACATAGTGATCTGTTAATAAGGAAATAGTATGTCCCAAAGCTTGCATGCTCTTCTGTTACACACTTAAAAGTACATAATTTTTCTTAACAAAAAACTGCATACTTCTAGGGCGTAGTATAAGTATGTGAATTGGGACGCAGCATTAAAGTAATTCTGAAGTAAATCAACATACCATCATCTCAAAAACATTGCAAGAATAAGATGCTTTGTTTCCAGTGAGGACTTAGAGAAACCTGTTCATGCTTTTATAACCAGCAGGATGGATTACTGTAATGGACTACTCACTGGCCTTTCCAAAAAGATGCTGCTGCCAGGATTCTGACCAGAACCAGAAAATCAGAGCACATCACACCTGTCCTCAGGACTTTACACTGGCTCCCAGTTACAATCAGAATAGATTTTTGAGTATTATTACTTGTCTATAAATTCTTAAATGGCAATGACCTCAATACATTACAGATATGCTCACTGACCAAATCACTCAGATCTATAGGATCAAGTAAATTAGAAATTCCAAGAGTTCATTTAACGCAAGGTGAAGCTGCCTTCAGCTACTACACCCCTCTCTGCTGGAATCAGCTTTCAAAAATTATCAGATGTGCTCCAACACTAGACACGTTCAAATCAAGACTTAAAACACTTTGGTTTAGCTGTGCCTTTACTGAATAAGCACTGTGTGTGATATGTTCAACAGATTCAACAGTATTATGTCCTTTTTTTCATTCTTGTATAACCCGTTTTAACATCTTTTTTTTTATCTGTTTTTAATTATTTAATCAATTTCTTTTTTATTTTATTTATGTTTATGTAAAGCACTTTGAATTACTATTGTGTATGAAATGTGCTATATAAATACTTGCCTTGTCTTGCCTAAAAATTAGCTGAACCAGAACACCACAGAATCAAATGAATCATATGAGAATAAACACACTCAAAAGACTTCAAATAGAAGAATGAATTAAAAACAAAACATCATCAAATGACATAGAACAGAATGAATCTCAAACCAATGCAGAACTGAATCAGATGACAACAGAAACACATGAGAGTTAAATAAAACAGAAGAGAATCAAAGGAAACAAACAGAAAGTAACCCTCACCTTTGAGGCCAAAGCCTCCACGCTCTCTCTGCATGTCTTCTCGATCTCTAAATTCTCCTGAATGCTGTTTACCTCCTCGATAACCCTGTGTGACACTAAAGACAAGAAAAATGTCAAATATTTTGATGTAAACACACCACAGTCATCACTACAGGCAAGCATATAACTAATTTTCTGCCATGAACACACTGTCAGCTCAGTACAACATCATGACAAGGTCACAACATCATACAATTACTCTGTCCAGAGCACTGAAACAGCACACAACAGCCTTTTATCAGCTAGGATTCTCTGTAGACTCCTTTTAAAACGAGTTCACAGAGTATTTTAACATATAAAACACCTGAGGCTACTGTTTATATGGTGGACACAAGGTTAACTCAATGCACACATGAATTTGAACAGCACAAACACAGGCATATTTGTACAGTACATCCCATATAATTATTATATATTCCTTTGTTATGAGCTAATATTAATTTACATATGTGACTATGGGATGAATCTACGCCTCTGTCACTCAATATATTTAAGTTTGACTGTATGATTAAAGTCCCAATAACAAAAAATATCAAAAAAATAAAAATAAAACAAAAAAATTAAAAAAATTAAAAAAAAGCACTGGAACAAATCAGTTTTTATTTGTAGTTTTTAAAGCTGAATGCTTAATATCAACGTAAACTATGAAGCATAACAAAACACTAGGTGAAAAAATAATAATTAACATGTAAGTTTTGACAGCTAAAAATGACATTATTGTTTTTGTTGAAAAACATATCAAAAATTTAAGTTAAATATATTTGAAGTCAGAATTATTAGCCACCCTTTGATCTTTTTAATCTTTTTTTTTCTCAAATGATGTTTAACAGAGCAAGGAAATTTTCACAGTATGTCTGATAACATTTTTTCTTCAGGAGACAGTCTTATTTGTTTTATTTCGGCTAAAATAAAAGCAGTTATGAATTTTTTTAAAAGCCATTTCAAGATCAAAATTATCAGCCCCTTTAAGCTATATTTTTTCCTGATAGTCTACAGAACAAACCATCGTTATACAATAACTTGCCTAATTACCCTAACCTACATAGTTACCCTAATTAACCTAGTTAAGCTTTTAAATGTAACTTAAAGCTGTATAGAAGTGTCTTGAAAAATATCTAGTAATGTATTACTTTCATCATGGCAAAGATAAAATAAATCAGTTATTAGAAATGAGTTATTAAACTGTTGTTTAGAAATGTGTTGAAAAAATCTTCTCTCCGTTAAACAGAAATTGGGGAAAAAATAAACAGGGGTGCTAATAATTCAGGAGGGCTAATAATTCTGACTTCAATTGTATATATCTATGGTATGCCTTAAATAAAGATAAAAACGTGATCTGTTTAGATAACAATTTATTGTGTCATATATCAACTGGCTGAATACATGTTTGTTTCTAGTTGAAACCAATTAACCCTAAGCACATGCCAATAGTAGAAACACATGTACTGTAGCTTGTTGCTAATGTTTTTATTTGTAGCTTCACCAAACATTAGGTCAAATCATGGTGGATCACACATAATTGTTTAGAGTCCAAAAATATCACAACATGCTGCATAGATCTTAAAATAATTTTCACTGAGTCACACTGCATGACAACTTACTAAAGTTCTAGATGATTTTTTAAATAATCCTTTATGATTGTTTTTAGCCAGATTATACAGGTTTTTAAAATAAACGACAAAAACACAGACACACAACTCATGTGGAGTTTGTCATTATCAGTCCATGACACATTCAGTTACACTTGTTCTGAAATTATACCCAAAGTCCCTTTAAGGCAAGTTATTTCCCAGCCATCAGCAGCCATCTGGCATGCAAGTGTAAGCTCCTATCTCTTTGAATGTGGAAACATCAAATTCTCCAAAACTCTTTGTTAAGCTTAAAATTAAATTTCACATTTGGAAGCAGCAGTGAAATTTAACAGCAACTGTCTCTTAAATGTTGTTTCTAAACATTACGATCATGACAGAAGTTATTTTTTTCAGGTTGCCCGAACTAATGCATATGCACACTTGAAGGGAATGAGATCACAACACTAACCTCATTTATGACCGTTTCTGGAAAATGCAATCAGTTATTATCCTGTCAATCAAGCTTTTTAACCACCATAAGAATTATTACCTTACATGTTACACAGTATAATCCTATAAATAATGCAGCATCCGAGGAACCTTCTCTTCTAAAGTATTTTTCAACTTATTTTTGAGGGGAAATCTTCTCCCAAAATGACAGCAACCTCTTTACATACAAATTTGTGGGTGTTCAAGTGGTTGATGTCATGAGATTTCAGTATAAATAGTGGCAGTGTGAATTTATGATGTCAGATGGAACGTAATGTACGTAATGCACGTCGGATTTGTTTCATACAGAAAACAAAACCAGAAAGCATTTGTTTTTTAGTTGGTTCATTTAAGAGTAGATATTTTAAGCTTAATTTAGATCCATTTCTCATGTCTATGAGGCAAGCATTCACTGAGATTGCAATGTGTGTTTGCCAACGCCATATACTGTAGTTCAAAACAATGAAGCTGCAAAACAAGAAAACAAAGAACAAATCTGGACCAAGCCCCTCCCACGGAGAATCATCAGTCTACAGCGATCAACAATTGGCTCCTTTACTTGAGGGCCTTAAATTGTTCCTTCACAACAGCAGAAATATTGATCTTCACACTTTTCCTAATTCAGAACTACATGAGTGACACCTCTTGTATATTCTATAGTCTTTGTGATATCTCACAGAAAAAATTAACAATCGGTAGCGTTAATTTTACAGTTTGAGTTTGACACCCCTGCATTAGAGCATTCGAGATCCAAAGGGGAAGTTCAACCAAGATCAAATTCATCTCAGCTATGGTGGGTGGGAATAGTGGGAAGGTACAATGACTAAAATATCAATTTACTTGATTGGGACTGCACTTAGATTTTATTGAATACTCCAGTTTGCATTTCCACATGGCCAACTACTGTATGGCCAACTACTATTAAACTATTATGGTAAGAATAGATGATGATGTGATAACTTGTGACCACAGTTGACTAACAATGTTTCTGGGAAACAGCAGCTTTGCCATTCATCATCAAAGAGAAGTGTTCAACTGAAGAAATGAATTGCTCATCCTGCAAAAGTCTATTACTTATCACTAGGGCCAGACAGAATCTGTGCACATTTTTTGCTATTTCTGGGCAAATGTTTAGTAAAAATCTGTGGATTTATGCGGAATGATTTTAGGAGTATCATAACTAAAACCTTAATATATGAAATAAAAAGTAATACCTTTTTAACTTGTATTTAATGTTGACAATGCAAATGCAAAAAGATCTACTTATTTGGTAAACAAAGCAATTTTATCATGTAATATCTCTACTAAAAGACAGAAAATATGACTTTACAAACTATATTGTAAATAAATTATATAAATATTTTCATATTAGTCAATAATATTACTGAAATTAATAAAAAAAACAGCAAAAATATGCATGAAAAAAAATCTGCAGAATTCTGTGCGTGCAGATTCTATGTGGGCCTACTTTTTACTTAGTCTACATGACTCCTATGTAGGAATTTTTAATATTTTCCACAGGCAAAAAGTTTTGTCTAATGAGATTGGCTGGACCAGCAATGGGTGTTCACCAGTGTTGGGCAATAACGCGTTTCTAGTAATGTGTTACAGTATCGGCATTACTTTTTACAGTAACTAATACTGTAACACATTACTTTTTAAATATATTAACACTTTGATTGTTACAATATGATGCGTTTGTCCATTACTTGGTAAATTAATTAATTTTGGCTGCTCTATCCCACATCTTCCTGTTTACAGCGGTGACTCATTGTAGGACTGGTGGATGCCTTCCAATATATAAGGCGCCAGACTGGACAAAAGTAAAGCGAAAGCAGAGACCAAATGTGCACGAGGTACACCAAGTGTGCACGTGAGAGAGACACGGATGTACGCAAAGAGGCCAAGTGTGTGCGCATATTTCTGTTATATTTCAGAACACGTCATTTAAAATGTTTAGTGTTGTATTGCTCAGAAGAAAATGCTGTGATTTAATTTTTATAGTTTTACATATTTTTATAGCTGTTATACAACACCAGATTTTTTCACTTTGAATATACACAGATTACTTTCCATAAGTTGTTAATGTACCACATTTAATTTGTGGTTAGTTTAAAAATTGCTCATCGATTTCATTTTTGAGCAGTTTTTTTTAAATGCATTAAATTTAGGGTTTGTATAATAGCAGTTTTTTGGTGCTGACTTTCACCAAATTGATTCTGAATAATAATTCAGGTTATTTTCATTGATTTATTTCATAAAGGTTTTGTGTTTGTTGTATATTGTTGCTAGTTTTAATACTCAAGATTGAAGGAACATGTTTAAGGGTTAAATACAACAACATTTATGATGCTGAAGCAACTGTAGTATTTGCTTTTTTGTTTCCGAATATATTGTTCGGCTGGTTTATCACCTTGTGAAATGTTTTTTTTTTTTTTTTTGTGCTGCTGCTCTGACTTAAATATATTATTGTTTAAAAATGACTTTTTGTTTAGGTCTGTCTTGTGTTTTAGTTATGAGAATGCAAATAAATTAAACCTGTAAAGCTGATCAACCGTGTATTCTCCATGCAGCACTGAAGTGACGTTATAAGGTCATTAATAAGCATTAAAAATGTTCTTTGGAAAAGTAACTCAAAAATTATTTTAATAGTAATGCATTACTTTTTGTTGTAAGTAATCAATAAAATCATTAAGTTACTTTTTAAATGAATTAACTAGTAACTGTAACTAGAGACTATTTTTCAGTAACAAGCACAACACGGGTGGTCACCAGAGCCTACAGAAATACTAAAACTATACAAGACGAATGTCACTACAATATTTAAAATGCTATTTCAGCAAGGGTTCGTTGACTTCTAAAATTTCTATTCATCAAACCATCCTAAAATAAAGAATGATGGTTTTGGCCACAATATTCATTGACTGTTTTTATTTGCACATAACAGCATATTAGAATGGTTGCCAAAGGATCCTGTAACACTATAGACTGAATGG